GTATAAAAGACACCTGTCCACACACACAATCAAACAGACTCCAACCTCTCCACAATGGCCAAGACCAGAGAGCTGTGTAAGGACATCAGGGATAAAATTGTAGACCTGCACAAGGCTGGGATGGGCTACAGGACAATAGGCAAGCAGCTTGGTGAGAAGGCAACAACTGTTGGCGCAATTATTAGAAAATGGAAGAAGTTCAAGATGACGGTCAATCACCCTCGGTCTGGGGCTCCATGCAAGATCTCACCTCGTGGGGCATCAATGATCATGAGGAAGGTGAGGGATCAGCCCAGAGCTACACGGCAGGACCTGGTCAATGACCTGAAGAGAGCTGGGACCACAGTCTCAAAGAAAACCATTAGTAACACACTACGCCGTCATGGAATAAAATCCTGCAGCGCACGCAAGGTCCCCCTGCTCAAGCCAGCGCATGTCCAGGCCCGTCTGAAGTTTGCCAATGACCATCTGGATGATCCAGAGGAGGAATGGGAGAAGGTCAGCGCCGGAAGAAGATGGCTGCCGTTTTACAGCCCTCTAACCAATTGTACTATTATGTGTGTTTTTCCGCGTTATTTGTAATTTATTTTGTACATAATGTTTCTGCCATCGTCTCTTATAACCAAAGAGAGCTTCTGGATATCAGGACAGCGATTACTCACCTCGCGTTGGACGAAGACTTTTTCTTCAACGAGGCGTTCGCGAAGGATATTCTACAGACTCCCGACAAGGCCCAGATCCACGTCATTCGCGTGAGGAAGAGACGGAGATATCGTGGACGCAGATCCGGGTGCCTTGTAAGGATCCGACGGCGAACGAGTAAACTGCCTCTCCCATCAATCCTATTAGCCAACGTTCAAGCTTTTGAGAATAAAATGGACGATTTAAGATTACGGTTATCCTACCAACGGGACATTAAAAACTGTAATATCTTATGTTTCACGGAGTCGTGGCTGAATGACAACAATGACAACATTCAGCTAGCAGGCTATACGCTACATCGGCAGGACAGAACGGCAGACTCGGGTAAGACGAGGGGTGGCGGTCTCTGTATATTTGTAAACAACAGCTGGTGCACAAAATCAAATACTAAGGAAGTCTCTAGGTTTTGCTCGCCTGAGGTAGAGTATCTCATGATAAGCTGTAGACCACACTATTTACCAAGAGAGTTTTCATCTATATTTTTCATAGCTGTCTATTTACCACCACAAACCAATGCTGGCATTAAGATTGCACTGAATGAGTTGTACAAGGCCATTAATCAACAGGAAAATGCTCATCCAGATGCAGCGCTCCTAGTAGCCGGGGACTTTAATGCAGGGAAACTTAAATCCGTTCTACCTCATTTCTACCAGCATGTTAAATGTGCAACCAGAGGGGAAAAAACTCTAGACCACCTTTACTCCACACACAGAGACGCATACAAAGCTCTCCCTCGCCCTCCATTTGGCAAATCTGACCATAACTCTATCCTCCTGATTCCTGCTTATAAGCAAAAACTGAAGCAGGAAGCACCAGTGATTCGGCTAATAAAAAAGTGGTCAGATGACGCAGATGCTAAGCTACAGGACTGTTTTGCTAGCACAGACTGGAACATGTTCCGGGATTCTTCAGACAGCATTGAGGAGTACACCACATCAGTCACTGGCTTCATCAATAAGTGCATCGATGATGTCGTCCCCACAGTGACCGTACGTACATACCCCAACCAGAAGCCATGGATTACAGGAAACATCCGCACTGAGCTAAAGGGTAGAGCTGCCGCTTTCAAGGAACGGGACTCTAACCCGGACGCTTATAAGAAATCCCGCTATGACCTCCGACGAACCATCAAACAGGCAAAGAGTCAATACAGGTCTAAGATTGAATCATACTACACTGGCTCTGACGCTCGTCGGATGTGGCAGGGCTTGAAAACTATTACAGACTACAAAGGGAAGCACAGCCGCGAGCTGCCCAGTGACACAAGCCTACCAGACGAGCTAAACCACTTCTATGCTCGCTTCGAGGCAAGCAACACTGAAGCATGCATGAGAGCACCAGCTGTTCCGGACGACTATGTGATCACGCTCTCCGTAGCCGATGTGAGTAAGACTTTTAAGCAGGTCAACATTCACAAGGCCGCAGGGCCAGACGGATTACCAGGACGTGTACTCCGAGCATGTGCTGACCAACTGGCAAGTGTCTTCACTGACATTTTCAACATGTCCCTGACTGAGTCTGTAATACCAACATGTTTCAAGCAGACCACCATAGTCCCCGTGCCCAAGAACTCTAAGATAACCTGCCTAAATGACTACCGACCCGTAGCACTGACGTCTGTAGCCATGAAGTGCTTTGAAAGACTGGTCATGGCTCACATCAACAGCATAATCCCAGAAACCCTAGACCCACTCCAATTTGCATACCGCCCCCAACAGATCCACAGATGATGCAATCTCTATCGCACTCCACACTGCCCTTTCCCACCTGGACAAGAGGAACACCTACGTGAGAATGCTATTCATTGACTACAGCTCTGCATTCAACACCATAGTGCCCTCTAAGCTCATCACTAAGCTAAGGATCCTGGGACTAAACACCTCCCTCTGCAACTGGATCCTGGACTTCCTGACGGGCCGCCCCCAGGTGGTAAGGGTAGGTAACAACACATCTGCCACACTGATCCTCAACACGGGGGCCCCTCAGGGGTGCGTGCTCAGTCCCCTCCTGTACTCTCTGTTCACCCATGACTGCATGGCCAGGCACGACTCCAACACCATCATTAAGTTTGCCTGACGACACAACAGTGGTAGGCCTGATCACCGACAACGATGAGACAGCCTATAGGGAGGAGGTCAGAGATCTGGCCGTGTGGTGCCAGGACAACAACCTCTCCCTCAACGTGACCAAGACAAAGGAGATGATTGTGGACTACAGGAAAAAAAAGAGGACTGAGCACGCCCCCATTCTCATCGACGGGGCTGTAGTGGAACAGGTTGAGAGCTTCAAGTTCCTTGGTGTCCACATCACCAACGAACTATCATGGTCCAAACACACCAAGACAGTCGTGAAGAGGGCACGACAAAGCCTATTCCCCCTCAGGAGACTAAAAAGATTTGGCATGGGTCCTCAGATCCTCAAAAAATTCTACAGCTGCACCATCGAGAGCATCCTGACTGGTTGCATCACCGCCTGGTATGGCAACTGCTTGGCCTCTGACCGCAAGGCACTACAGAGGGTAGTGCGTACGGCCCAGTACATCACTGGGGCAAAGCTCCCTGCCATCCAGGACCTCTATACCAGGCGGTGTCAGAGGAAGGCCCTCAAAATTGTCAAAGACTCCAGCCACCCTAGTCATAGACTGTTCTCTCTGCTACCGCACGGCAAGCGGTACCGGAGTGCCAAGTCTAGGTCCAAAAGACTTCTCAACAGCTTCTACCCCCAAGCCATAAGACTCCTGAACAGCTAATCATGGCTACCCGGACTATTTGCACTGCCCCCCCCCCCCACCCCTTTTACGCTGCTGCTACTCTGTTAAGTATTTATGCATAGTCACTTTTTTTCCAGGTAGCCCAATTTGGACGGAAAACCGCGGACATGGCAACCCTGATGCCTGGGGGGCTGTGCGCACTGTAACATGAAGTGCTGAATGATTCGTTTTTAGAAGCCCACAGCACAGGCATAGAAGTCGGTCGAATTTACCCAAAAGTGTTTCTAAATCTATGGTGGAAAAACGATTGGAACCATTTCCCTGTTTGACCGCTAGGTTTTATGGGTATTATGACACCTCCACCGTGGGGCTCTATGCCGTTTTACTTTCTGCATCTACGTCATCTCGCTGAGTCTACCTTTAATGTATATCCCTGATATGATATGATCTGACCTCTGAGGCAGCCACTTTGATGTGGACAAAACTCTCCCAGTTCATAATAATATGAAGAAAGGTTGGCATAAGTGATCAGATGGCATATACCAGATACTGCACATGATGAGCCTCCAGGCCTACTTACTAAGCAGCTCGATAACCTTTAGCAATGAGGCGAGGGTCTGACTGGAAAGAACACCCAGTCAAATCTATGAATAAACAGTGAAATGAGACTGGGCCCTTGGAGTCGTTGCCCGGCTGGGCTGTCAGGCATTGGTGTTATGCAATCTGAACCTCTTACCTCAATGTTGTCAGAGTGGCAGACAGCCTGACATGCATTGCTCTGGTGCTGTCAGTCAGTCAGTCAGTCAATCAATCAGTGAGTATTGTCTTCTGAGGTGGTGACTGAGAAAGAGCGATGATGGAATTGATCGACACATTGTGTGCAATAGTAAACTGGTACTTTTTTGCAGGCTTCTCTTTTTAGGTTATCTTGTGTTGCACTTACGCAGTGAGAGAGCGAAGTGGAGGGAAGGAAAGAGGAAATCTGCCACCTCGTGGCTGAGGCAGTGCGCTCTCTCTCTGTCTGTCTGTCTGTCTGTCTGTCTGTGAGACAGCAGGAATGTGTTCGCTACAATAGACACGCAGATCTTAGAGGAGCATGCTTGAACTGCTCTACTCTGTGTGCTTAGAGACGTGTACACAGACGTGCGTGCACGCCAGCGTAACACACACAGTGTTCCCATGCTACCCAACATCGAACGTCGTTTACAAGGCTACTGGCACACCCTCAAACTCCCAGATTACCTTCACTCTTGCTTGCGTACTTGCTATGCACTCTTCTCCTTCTCACGCATGCCATGCACGCACACACGTGTTAGCCTAGGCCTAGACTACATACTGTAGCCTTAACAGCTGCTCACTCTGCTTTCAGAGTTGTGTTCACTCCAGTGACACACATTAGCCTAACATGTGATTTGGATAACAACATTGAATAATGCAGAAGTCATCAGTTTCGGCATTGAGATGAATTTTTTGTTTCGTTTTTTTAGATCCAGGCCAATATTCTAGGCCTTGTGTGTATTGTTAAGGATTTGTGATACTTTCTTGTTTGTAAGCCATCTTTGTCTGCCATATTTGTCTTTCCGCAGCCAACCTGACCGGCCACGTCGAGAGGGTGGGCATCGAGAACTTTGAGCTGCTAAAGGTGCTGGGAACTGGAGGTGAGTGACAGTTCTAAAAGCCAATCCAATGCTGGAAAGTTGTCACTGATTTTGAGGAGGTGCATTCATTTTATCTCGCCTGGGGGGTGTGGGTGGGTGGGTGGTTTTGAAAACTCTGCCCATCCAGTGCTCCAGGTGAGCTACAAATGCACTGAATGCTTTTGGCTGCTGACTTTTTAATGTTTTTCTTTCCTCTCTCTCTCAGCCTATGGCAAGGTGTTCCTGGTGCGCAAAGTGAGCGGTCACGATGCAGGGCAACTATACGCCATGAAGGTGTTGAAGAAGGCCACGATAATACAGAAGGCCAAGACGGCAGAACACACACGCACAGAGAGACAGGTTCTGGAACACATCAGACAATCACCGTTCCTCGTTACCCTCCACTACGCCTTCCAGACGGACACCAAGCTGCACCTCATACTAGGTCTGGATCTCTGTCTCTCTCCTCTCTCTCCTCTTCTCTTTTTGTCTCTCTCGCTCTGTCTTTACAGAGAGTTGTTATTTTACAATGAAGACATGAATATGAAGTATGTGAAGTACGAATGTCAAGTAGCAGAATGCAAGATTGTTACGAAAGAAATTCAGCATTATCAGTGAGACTTTTCACCTGCCTTACAGTGAACTGAACTGACCCATTTGAATTCTAGAATTATACCGGCAATGTTGAAATGTAATATCACGGGAGTTAAGACAACCTGGCTTGTTCATACCGGTTTCATTATTATTATTATGATTGTTATTATGACAGATTATGTGAACGGTGGGGAGCTGTTCACACACCTGGTGCAGAGGGTTCGGTTCAAAGAGCAGGAGGTAGCTTTGTACAGTGGAGAGATAGTCCTGGCACTGGAGCATCTACACCAGGTGAGTGTGGGTACTTGTAGACCAGTGTGGGTACTTGTAGACCAACACTTCATTCAGTTTTGACAATCCTCAACTTCATTAAGGTACAATCGTTTTGGAGTTGTAGCCTAAATGCAGCTGCAAATGGTGCAGTTTCCTAGAAATCCTTCATCATACTGTGTTATCACAACTGTCATATTTTAAGGGCCGGTTTCCTGGACACAGATTAAGCATAGTCCTGGCCTAAAAAGCTATTTCACTGGAGATTCTCCATGCTTTTTAGTCCAGGACTATGCTTAATTTGTGTCTGCGAAACCATCCCTCAAATACATTCTGGAATAATCGCTGATTCTACATTGTTGTCGTAGTCGAGCCTTGTAATCGCCTGACTGTTTTCTAGCTGGGGATAGTCTACAGAGACCTGAAGCTGGAGAACATCCTCATGGACTCCAGCGGGCACATAGTGCTCACAGACTTTGGCCTCAGCAAAGAGTTTGATGAGGTATGTATTACAGATTATGTATGGAGCAACAGGCCTACCCATACATCCATATGAACATTATGACACATGGAAGACTTGTGCTTGTAGTGTTGTACTTTAAAATGGTTAGACTACTTATAGTATTAGGGTGCATTCACACCCGCGACGCATCCCTCGCAGAGTTAATGGATTAGTAGGGCTGGGCGATGTACCTTATTTGACTATATGCCGGTATTGTTGCATGGACCGGTTTGGGTTTTTACTAGGGCTGGGAATTGCCAGTGACCTCCACAATACGATATTATCATGATACTTAGGCGCCGATACGATATGTATTGCGATTCTCACGATTCTATATGTATTGCAATTCGATACTGTGATTTTTATTGCGATTCGATGTTCTAAACATATTGCTCACCATATGTCCGTTGCAGAGGGACAAGAGAGAGCCATGAGAAAACGAGTTTTGGAATCAAAACGGAAAAATTTTCAAAATGGAAAGAAAAGTGCTAGGGGCGGAGTTAGAAAGTTGGCTGTCAGAAGTATTACAATGTAAATTTACTTTTAATCCGTCTGTCTGCATATTTCAAGACATGGCATATGAGCATGCAGTGAGCTACCCGATGGGTTGGATGATACTTTTCTCATCAATCACCTTGAAAAAAGATGGGCTTAAACTGGAAATCAACCAATCCTCCATCGTTAACACAATGGAAAGGTCAAATGCTTTATTATCTAAATGTTGAAAGTGCGTGGGCGACAAAGAGAAACAAAATGGGAGCAGTTTGAGGCCATGTGGCGGAGAGTGATGTGGGTGCTGGAGATGGGGGTGTGAGCAGGTGGGTCTTGGCAGGTGTGATGTCGTTGATGTTTGTGTACGTTTGTATGCTGTCGGTTGTATGTGTATGTTTTGTATTGTAAATAAATAAAAATTACTAAAATTAAAATAAAATAAAACATGCTGAAAGCAAATTGGCTCCCTATTTTAAAAAAAAGATGGAGAACAAGCTATGAAGGAAAAATAAAGACGTTTTGGTGCAGGTACAGCCAACTAGAGAGAAAATAATATTGCGACATTGTCAAAACGATACATTGTCAAAAATAATATCCTGATATGTAATTGTATCAAATTTTTTCTCCAATGACTAGTTTTTACTTTACCTTCTATAACGGTATTTCAATGTTTGGTATGTTAAGTGTTATATGCAACTATGGCGGGTGTAATGTCACAGTTGTTGTTGCTCGACCATGGAGTCACGAGCACTTCACTTCCTGTTCACTCTGCAGTCTGCATGGTCAGACGCAACAAGATGTTGGTGACAACAATGCTGCTTTCAAAGCCTGCTATAAATACACTATTAGTTTGTGTATCTTTACAGTCAGAAAACATTAGTTAGCCACTAATGCTAATCACTAGTTAGCTAGCTAGCTAAAAGTAATCAGAGTCAGACCAAACGTAGCTACACTGTAGCTAATATACAGCCTGATACCAGTTCTGGCGTAGGCCTAGATCACTATGTTGTTTGTGCAATGGTATCTTCTAAATCAGAGAGGAATAGGCAAAGCATGAATATGTTAGCTAGCTAGCTACATCAAGTAAGAGAATACACATGTAATGTAACATCGTATATGTACATTATTATATGTGTTATTATATATTACATTATTATATGTGTACAGGTGCAGTGATCGGTAAGCTGCTCTGACAACTGACGCTTAAAGTTAGTGAGGGAGATAAGTGTCTTCAGCTTCAGAGATTTTTGCAGTTCGTTCCAGTCATTGGCAGCAGAGAACTGGAAGGAATGGCGGCCAAAGGAGGTGTTGGCTTTGGGGATGACCAATGAGATTTACCTGCTGGAGCGCAGACTATGGGTGGGTGTTGCTATGGTGACCAGTGAGCTAAGATAAGGCGGGGATTTGCCTAGCAGTGATTTATAGATGACCTGGAGCCAGTGGGTTTGGCTACGAATATGTAGTGAGGGCCAGCCAACAAGAGCGTACAGGTCACAATGGTGGGTAGTATATGGGGCTTTGGAGACAAAACGGATGGCACTGTGATAGACTACATCCAATTTGCTGAGTAGAGTGTTGGAGGCTATTTTGTAAATGACATCGCAGAAGTCAAGGATCGGTAGGATAGTCAGTTTTATGAGGGCATGTTTGGCAGCATGAGTGAAGGAGGCTTTGTTGCGAAATAGGAAGCCAATTCTAGATCTAACTTTTGATTGGAGATGCTTAATGTGAGTCTGGAAGGAGAGTTTACAGTCTAACCAGACAACTTTGGTTCCTACGCTGTCACAATAATTCCTCTCTGGCTTATTTATTTGTTGTCATGTCAAACAACAATGTATTCAACGTGCTGCCCATTGTTGGAGACTATCTGACTTGAGCCCGTTTTAATTACATAATGAGCCCGTTTATAACTGCGTAATCAGCTTATTAGTCGTAATAACTTGGACCTTGTGTGTCGTTATTGCAGTGACAAGGGGAAGGAAGTACAGAACGTTTCTGTCTCTCCAGACATGTTCTTGCTTTTCTGTATATTAATATTTCTAAGGAAGTAGTTTAAAGGCAACTGTCGAGTGTCAGTTCCTGACAAGCTAGGCTAGTCTCTGTGGAACTAGGGTAAGGAGAGATGTGGAACTCAACATCAAGGTCAAGGTGAGGACAACAGTTAAAGAGAGACTGAACCTCTGGGAGGGGGGCAATAGGGGCCCACCTAACAACACTCTTAACTGAAGTCTTATCTCTCTCACTCACTCACACACACACACACACACACACATCCCCACCCATGAAGGTTTTGGGCTCAGGCTGGGCCACGACAATACCAATGAGAGGAACCGACTAGGTTCCTGCCCAGCAACAGAGAATGACTGTTTATTTTAGACATACAAGGAGATGACTCCACCTAGTCGGATGACATAAATATGTGCTTGTGTGTCTTGTATGTTGTGTTATGCAGCTGCGACATCCTGTTGGGTGTAATACATTTAGTTTGAGCTTCCTTTGGGGTCCGTCTGGATTTGTACCAGAATTTAGAACCAAACACAACTATATTCCAACTATTGAATTACAATAATCACTCTATTTCCATGATTTCAATAGTTGACCAATAAACTACTGTAGACCTAGCTTTGTTGACCATATCTATCATGTAGCCCTACGTGACACGGTGTGGAAATGATAACAAAAGTGCAGGAAATTCAGAAGTTGATAGATTATTTTGGGTTGGATTGAACATTATAAAACAATCAGAATGGAGAATGCTCCATTAAAATCACTTATATTTTGTACGTTGCCACCCTAGGGTTCTTAATATTTAGAACTTTTATTATTCAAAAACACGGTCAAATACTGTCATACCGTCCAAAATCAAAAGATATATTGTGATATGATACTTTGGCCATATCGCCCAGCCCTACAGAGGAGTATGTGCTATATTGTTATTTATTTATTTTTTTAGCCCTTTTTCGTGGTATCCAATTAGTAGTTACAGTCTTGTCCCATCGCTGCAACTCCCGAACGGACTCGGGAGAGGCGAAGGTCGAGAACTGTACGTCCTCCGAAACACAACCCTGCCAAGCCGCACTGCTTCTTGACACAATGCCCGTTTTAACCCGGAAGCGAGCCGCACCAATGTGTCGGAGGAAACACCGTACACCTGGCGACTGAGTCAGCGTGCACTGCGCCCGGCCCGCCACAGGAGTCGCTAGTGCGCGATGGGACAAGACTATTTTGTCAAAAGTTACGCAATGCCAAGCCCCTTGACAGACATTTCTTCTCTCTTCTACTTATGGATGAGTGTTTATGCTAGCACAGACACCAGACCACCCAGTATCTGCATGTGCATGTTTATGTCTGTCTGGATGTTTGATTCAGTGGTTCTGATATATGTCCAGCCCACTTGAAAATATGTTTTGCAGCCAGTGCTTATGCAGTGTATGTGTCCCAAATGGCACCCTGTTCCCCATATAGTGCACTGCTTTTGACCAGGGCCCATTGGGAATATGGTACCATTTGAGACGCAACAATTCTTTATGATCGTTTTTGGCAGTCTATATACACATTCTGTATGATGGTTATGTAGTGTATACAGCCTCTGTATGACCATCATTATAAGATCACGGTTAGATGTCCCTGTTCTGTGGTGCTTGCTAGGTTTTTCTTCACAACAATTACTTATTTTCTACCTGAACTGATCAAATGTGTCCTAGTTTCAAGCTTCCTTCCTGTCCAATCCTAGTGTGTCTGAAAATGTCAGTGATTAGTAAACAAGAAATAAAGAGCGGGAAAAATCTCATCTTGCTATGGTATTTCAATGTTTTGACTGCGTGTGTTGTTCCCCAGTTGGAGAGGGCTTACTCTGTCTGTGGCACCATTGAGTACATGGCCCCAGAGATCGTAGAGGGAGGAGAGGCTGGCCATGACATGGTAATTCATCATTTAGAACCCCCAGTGGTGTTATACTACCTGTTCTACTGTTCCTGACCCAAATGCACATGGTACACAGGTAATCATAGGTCTAGCTCACTAATAACTGGGTGTAGTCTGCTGCACACCTGTAAGAGCTGCCTCCGGTGTCTTTGGTGCTGTTCCAAGCTGCCTATGTTGAATCATTTGCACAACGCATCTGCAATGTAGGCAGCCTGGAACGCCACCTTTGTCACATGGCATGTATAGCATGAGCTGTATATAATATTAATAATACAAACTTTATTCATCCATGGAATATCTACCCGTGTTCCAGGCAGTAGACTGGTGGAGCCTTGGGGTATTGATGTATGAACTTATGACAGGCGGATCACCATTCACCGTCGATGGAGACGAGAACTCTCACACAGATATCGCCAAGTAAGCATTCTCCTAGATCTATCTCCTAACACAGTGGTCACCAACCGGTCGATCGCGAGGCATTTCTAGTCGATCACCAAACATTTCTGTTTGTGTTAGGTGCACTTGATTCAGCAGCCCTAGCGCAGGGGAAGGCAAAGTGTTCCCATTTTGAACCATTTCATGTGTCTGAAGGTAGAACTCTACCCTACCCAGCAGGCCCAGAGAGCAAATAAAGTGCACCTATAGGCCTGCCGCTGGCCAATCAGATAGCTCAGATCACCATGTCTGCTTAGTTTCCTCGAACAATAGACTGTAAAAAGAAGCCTCGAGCGCACAGCAAAGTTGATACTGTGATATTTAAAAACTTCTAAAACAATGACTAGAGAGACTCAATGAATACAGCAAAGAACTGATGTTTTTATGACTAAATTAATGTTTAAGTTGTTATACAGCACTGTCAACACTTTGTTCAACACTTTTATAAGCCATACAATGTGCGTTATCCCTACTTTCACTCACTCTACAACCACCACTGCAGCAGCAATGAATGACTATAGCAAAGTGTTTCGATAAGCTTGCATTTTCATTATTATTGGCTTCTCTTTTTTAATATTGGGGAATATTTAACTTTCTCTGGTCATAGGAGAAACAATATTAATTGGTGCATGAGGCAGAAATAATGCAGTGTGACTTAAGTTTCGCTATCAGTTGGAAGACTGTGTCCCCTTTTCTCAACGGAGGGGACGGTGAGTCAGGTGAGAGGTAGCCAAAATGCAGTAATAATATATTGGACCTATAGCCTACTGCATAGACCTCATATCTACAGAACTGTTTTTAATAGGTTCATGTTGCATAGGCTTATGTTTTTTAAGTCATGTTTTTAAAAAATTATCTGAGTGGTAGATCTCAGCTTGCATTTTGACTCAACGTAATCTTAACTCAGAAAAGGTTGGTGACCACTGTCCTAATATCTCCTAACATGTGAACCCCAGGAAGAGTAGTGCTGCATGAGCATTAGCTAATGGGGATCCTAATACACTAAACTAAACATCCATTTGATTGCCTGGTTCTATGGAAAACAAAAATATATTTCACTTGTCCTTTTTACTCAGCAATAAGTAGTTGGTGCCCAGCCAGTGTGTGTGTGTCTAATCAAGTTGGGCTGATCAAGGAAAAAATATGAATTTCCAAGTACTCCAAGAAAACGGACAATAAAGTATTCTTCTATATCTGGCCTCTCATATAAAGCTTTATCTGGATTGTTGTTCTCCATCTCTCTCTCTCTGGACTGTCTGTCAACCACTTTGGAAATGTGTTTTCATTCATGCTTTCATGTGTTATTCTCTGGGATCAAATACACTTCTTGTTAATGTATGTCAGTCAGGGGTATTCCAATCTGATCCTGGAGGCCCAGAGTACTGCTGGTTTTCTGTTCTACCTGGTGCCTCCGGTCTAAATCAGTCCCTGATTAGAGGGGGAGAATGAACATCAGCTGTGGAACTGGCTTCAAGGTTCAGAGTAGAATTTGTCTGATGTACAGTATGTTTTATCGTTTTTTACTAATAAAAACAAAATCCTATCCAACCCTGACCTCTGTCACCTGTCAGGAGGATCTTGAAGAAGGACCCTCCATTCCCCAAAGACATGGGCCCTCTGGCCAAAGACCTCATCCGGGGCCTCCTCATCAAAGACCCAAAGAAGAGACTGGGCTCAGGGCCTGACCGAGCTGACAACGTTAAGAAACATCCATTCTACCAGGTAGGAGAGCGAGGCAGTTCCTTAACTTCGTACCAGAGCTACAGTTGAAGTCGGAAGTTTACATACACCTTAGCCAAATACATTTGAACTCAGATTTTCACAATTCCTGACATTTAATCCTAGTAAAAATTCCCTTTCTTAGGTCAGTTAGGATCACCACTATATTTTAAGAATTTGAAATGTCAGAATAATAGTAGAGAGAATTATTTATTTCAGCTTTTTATTTCTTTCATCACATTCCCTTCCCAGTGGGTCAGAAGTTTACATACACTCAATTAGTATTTGGTAGCATTGCCTTTAAATTGTTTAACTTGGGTAAAACGTTTCAGGTAGCCTTCCACAAGCTTCCCACAATAGGTTGGGTGAATTTTGGCCCATTCCTCCTGGCAGAGCTGGTGTAACTGAGTCAGGTTTGTAGGCCTCCTTGCTCGCACACGCTTTTTCAGTTCTGCCCACAAATTTTCTATAGGATTGAGGTCAGGGCTTTGTGATGGCCACTCCAATACCTTGACTTTGTTGTCCTTAAGCCATTTTGCCACGACTTTGGAAGCATGATTGGGGTCATTGTCCATTTGGAAGACCCATTTGCCACCAAGCTTTAACTTCCTGACTGATGTCTTGAGATGTTGCTTCAATATATCCACGTAATTTTCCTTCCTCATGATGCCATCTATTTTGTGACGTGCACCAGTCCCTCCTGCAGCAAAGCAACCCCACAGCATGATGCTGCCACCCCCGTGCTTCACGGTTGGGATGGTGTTCTTCGGCTTGCAAGCAACCCCCTTTTTCCTCCAAACATAACGATGGTCATTATGGCCAAACAGTTCTATTTTTGTTTCATCAGACCAGAGAACATTTCTCCAAAAAGTACGATCTTTGTCCCCATGTGCAGTTGCAAACCGTAGTCTGGCTTTTTTATGGCGGTTTTGGAGCAGTGGCTTCTTCCTTGCTGAGCGGCCTTTCAGGTTATGTCGATATAGGACTCATTTTACTGTGGATATAGATACTTTTGTACCTGTTTCCTCCAGCATCTTCACAAGGTCCTTTGCTGTTCTGGGATTGATTTGCACTTTTCGCACCAAGTTACGTTCATCTCTAGGAGACAGAACGCGTCTCCTTCCTGAGCGGTATGATGGCTGCGTGGTCCCATGGTGTTTATACTTGCGTACTATTGTTTGTTTGGAAATTGCTCCCAAGGATGAACAAGACTTGTGGAGGTCTATAAAAAAAAATCCTGAGGTCTTGGCTGATTTTATTTTGATTTTCCCATGATGTCAAGCAAAGAGGCACTGAGTTTGAAGGTAGGCCTTGAAATACATCCACAGGTACACCTCCAATTTACTCAAATTATGTCAATTAGCCTATCAGAAGCTTCTAAAGCCATGACATAATTTTCTGGAATTTTCCAAGCTGTTTAAAGGCACAGTCAACTTAGTGTATGTAAACTTCTGACCCACTGGAATTGTGATACAGTGAATTATAAGTGAAATAATCTGTCTGTAAACAATTGTTGGAAAAATTACTTGTGTCATGCACAAAGTAGATGTCCTAACTGACTTGCCAAAGCTATAGTTTGTTAACAAGAAATGTGTGGAGGGGTTGAAAAACGAGTTTTAATGACCTTAACCTAAGTGTATGTAAACTTCTGACTTCAACTGTATTTCCATAGGCTGGTCGGAGATCTGTTTGTGCTGTATAGCCAACTCCTATGGTCATTGTCATGACTAATAACCTTAGTAGTTAGCTATACAGCACAAACAGATCTGGGACCAGGTTAGCATCTCCTTTCTAACACATCTTAGAAGGCCTTTTGGTTTTTTTCTGTGGCATTTAGACAAATTGATACGTCGTAGGTTCATTTGTAGGTTGTGTATTGGTAGGACTACATACCATACAGTGTATACAGTACCTTCGTAAAGTATTCCACATTTTGTTGTTACAAAGTGGGATTAAAATGGATTTGTCATTTTTTTGTCAACGATCTAAACATTATCTAATATATATATATATATACACATACACACACACACACAGTGCCTTCGGAAAGTATTCAGACCCCTTGACTTTTTCCACATTTTGTTACGTTACAGCATTATTCTAAAATGGATGATGATACCCCATAATGACAAAGCGAAAACAGGTTGGTAATTATTTTTCAAATTTATTAAAATTAAAAAACGGATACCTTATTTACATAAGAATTCATACCCTTTGCTATGAGACACGTAATTGAGCGCAGGTGCATCCTGTTTCAATTGATCATCCTTGATGTTTCTAACCCAATCTAACATCTCTGGAGAGACCTGAAAATAGCTGTGCAGCAACGCTCCCCATCCAACCTGACAGCGCTTGAGGGGATCTGCAGAGAAGAATGGGAGAAACTCCCCAAATACAGGTGTGCCAAGCTTGTGGCGTAATACCCAAGAAGACTCGAGGCTGTAATCGCTGCCAAAGGTGCTTCAACAAAGTACTGATTAAAGGGTCTGAATACTTATGTGAATGTGATATTTCAGTAAAAAAAAAAATTGTATATAAATTTGCACAAATATTTTTTTTACCTGTTTTTGCTTCATCATTATGGGGTATTTGGTGTAGATTGATTAGGGAAAAAAAACGATTTAATCAATTTTAGAATAAAGCTGTAACCTAACAAAATGTGGAAAAAGTCAAGGGGTCTGAATACTTTCTGAGGCACAGTTTATAACACTAATATACAAAACATTAGGAACACCTGCTCTTTCCATGACATAGACTGACCAGGTGAATCCAGGTGAAAGCTATGGTCCCTTATTGATATCATCTGTTAAATCCACTTCAATCAGTGTAGATGAAGGGCAGGAGACAGGTTAAATAATTATTTTTAAGCCTTGAGACAATTGAGACATGGATTGTGTATGTGTGCCATTCAGAGGGTGAATGAACGGGGTATGGTAGTAGGTGCCAGTCGCACTGGTTTGAGTGTGTCAAGAACTGCAACGCTGCTGGGTTTTTCACACTCAGCAGTTTCCCATGTGTATCAAAGATGGTCCACCACCCAAAGGACATCCAGCCAATGGCGGGCCAGTGGTTGAAAACAGGTCATTGATGAAAGAGGACAAAGGAGGCCAGCACGAATTGTGCAGAGCAACAGATGGACTACAGTTAGTCAACTGACAGTCCAGTACAACATTGATACCCAAAAACCCATAAAAGAATGCACAACTCGTCGTACATTGACACAAATGGGGTATGGCAGCCGACAACCTTAGAGTTCCACTTCTTTCAGCAAAAAACAAGAAACTGCGATTGCAGTGGGCTAAGGAACGAAAACACTGGAGAATTGGAAAAACGTTGCCTGGTCTGATGAATCCCGGTTCCTGCTGTTTTACGCTGAAGGGATGAGTACATGCATCCACCATGGCGCGTGTCAACATTGCAGGCTGATGGTGTGGGGTGTATTTCTATGGCACACATTGGGACCTCTTGATAAAAGTGGAGCAGTGTTTGAATGCCACAGGATATCGGAACATCATTGCCAATCAGGTGCGTCCTTTCATGGCAGCATTGTATCCATCTGCAAATTGTTTTTTTCAGCAGGATAATAGAGACCCACAGTGGCGGTGTCATAATACCCATAAAACCTAGCGGTCAAACAGGGAAACGATTCCAATAGTTTTTCCACCATTCATTTTTCCCATATGGGATTTTAGAAACACTCCAAATAAGTGCTGTGTTTTGTGTAGGCTTACCCTGGCGTGACGTTTTGATAACTATGTAAATCTCTCTTGGACATGGTGAGTTTTATTAATATATTCGGCTCGATTTACTCTCAGATTCTAAAATGCTAATTAACATCAAAGTAGACATTCATGCAAAACTACAAATCCCTGCAAGCTCCTGGGTGTCATATCTAGCAGACCCCTTTGCTAACAGGTGTTGTGTCCATTTAAAACTTGCACAAGACCGTTCACAGAATTCTCCATTTAAAGAAATGTGGCCAATTTATTCATTTCTACATTTACCTTTGCCTTGATTTGACAGTCTCGTCCAGATCATCATGGCATTTGTAGTTCTTTTGTTCACATTAGCAGCTAATTAGCATATCATTTATGGGGGGTAAATACATGCGAATATATTGATAAAGTCACCTTGTCCTAGAGATTTACACAGTTATCAAAACGTCATGCCAGGATAAGCTTACACGAAACACAGCCCTTATTTTAAGTGTTTCTAAAATCCCCTATGGGAAGATTGAAAATGAACAACAATTGGAACCATTTCACTGTTTAACTGCTAGGTTTTAAGGGTATTATGACTCATACTGTCATACTCTATGCCCCATGCCACAAGGCTAGGGTTGTCCAGGAATGGTTACGCGAACATGACAGTGAATTCAGCTAACTGCAGTGGCCTGCCCAGTTACCAGATCTCAATCGAATTTAGCATCTGTGGGATGAGATGGAACGAGCTATTCGGAGTAGAGATCCACTACCAGCCGACTTGACACAACTGTGAGAAGCGTTGGAGTCGACATGGGCCAGCATCCCTGTGGAATGCTTTCGACACCTTGTTGAGTCCATGCCCCATGTAATAGAGACTGTTCTGAGGGCAAAGGGGGGTGCAACTCAATATTAGGAAGGTGTTCCTAATGTTTTGTACACTCAGAGTATCTTTGGTTAGATAAGTATTCAACCCCCTGAGACAATACATGTTAGAATCACCTTTGGCAGTGATTACAGCTGTGAGTCTTTCTGGCTAAGTCTAAGAGCTTTCCACACCTGGATTGTGCAACATTTGCCCATTATTCTTTTCAGAATTCTTCAAGCTCTGTCAAATTGGTTGTTGATCATTGCTAGACAAACATTTTCAGGTCTTGCCATAGATTTTCAAGCATATTTAAGTCAAAACTCTAACTCGACCACTCAGGAACATTCACTGTCTTCTGGTAATCAACTCCAGTGTAGATTTGGCCTTGTGTTTTAGGTTATTGTCCTGCTGAAGGGTGAATATATATATATATATATATATATATATCTCCCAGTGTCTAGTGGAAAGCAGACTGAACCAGGTTTTCCTCTAGGATTTTGCCTGTGCTTAGCTCCATTTCGTTTCTTTTTTATCCTAAAAAAACTCCCTGTCCTTAACGATTACAAGCATACCCATAACACCAGTATGCTTGAAAATATGGAGAGTGTTACTGTGTTATGTTTGGGGCAAATCCAATACAACACTTTTTGTATTCAGGACAAAATGTTAATTGCTTTGCCACATTTTTTACACTTACTTTAGTGTCTTGTTGCAAACAGGATGCATGTTTTGGAATATGGCTTACTTATTTTCACTCTGTGAATTAGGTTAGTATTGTGGAGTAACGACAATGTTGTTAATCCATCCTCAGTTTTCTCCTATCACAGCCATTAAACTCTTAACTGTTTTAAAGTCACCATTGGCCTAATGGTCGAAATCCCTGACAGGTTTCCTTCCTCTCCGGCAACTGAGTTAGGAAGGACGCCTGTATCTTTGTAGTGACTGGGTGGATTGATACATCTTCCAAAGTGTAATTAATAACTTCACCATGCTCAAAGGGATATTCAATGTCTGCTTTTTTCTTTTGTTTTTACACCCATCTACAAATGGGTGCCCTTCTTTGTGAGGCATTGGAAAACCTCCCTGGTCTTTGTGGTTAAATCGGTGTTTGAAATTCACTGCTCGACTGAGGGACCTTACAGATAATTGTATGAGTGGGGTACAGAGATAAGGTAGTCATTCAAAAATCATGTTAAACACTATTATTCCATGCAAGTTATGTGACTTGTTAAGCAAATGTTTTACTCCTGAATGTATTTAGGCTTGCCATAACAAAGGGGTTGAATACTTATTGACTCAAGACATTTGATTTTCTATAAATTTTTAAAGAAAATGGAAAAACTGGAATATTTTTTTTTCTCAATTTCAATTTCTCTGCTGGAATAAAAGGTAATGGTTCCAGAGAATCACCATGTCTTGAAAAACATAATTCCACTTTGACATTATGGGGTATTGTGTGTAGGCCAGTGACCAAAAAACTCAATTTAATCCGTTTTAAATTCAGGCTGTAACACAACAAAACGTGGAAAACGTCAAGGTGTGTGAATACTTTCTGAAGACACTTTATATTTGCCTTTGTTGATAAAATGATCTTGAAGTAGAAATGGTTGCTGACTAAATCTTTTTGTTGTGCTTCATCTCCTTAATATTTTAGAAGATTAACTGGGAGGACTTAGCAGCTAAGAGGGTGCCCGCCCCGTTTAAGCCGGTGATCAGGGATGAGCTGGATGTCAGCAACTTTGCGGAGGAGTTCACAGAAATGGACCCCACCTACTCCCCTGCAGCTCTGCCTCAGAACTGTGACCGCATCTTTCAGGTGTGTGTGTGTTAGATGGACCCCACCTACTCCCCTGCAGCTCTGCCTCAGAACTGTGACCACCTTTTTCTGTTTTTTGACAATGCATCTTTCAGATGGGGTGGGAAGTGTTTGATTATGCTTTTTAATACAGACCAAATTGTCAAATGATGTTTAATTTAGTTAAACTTCAACATTATTTTCTTTACATTCAATGTAAACTCTTTGAAGTGTGGTAGATGGTGTCACAGATGACGCAGTTTCTATGTATGTCTTTGACTCCTCAGCTATTGACATTGTTTAGAAAATCCTCAATATGAGCACGTCTGTGTGTACATTGGTATTCAAATTGACTAAAGGGCTTTTCATTCAAGGCGTATAATTATAGCCATATACAGTTCTGATGGACCTAACAGATGTGAATGACTATTTATGCTATAGCTTTGAACCATAATGTGTCCCAGAGCCCCTATTCACAAAGCATCTCGGAGCATGAGTGCAGATCGAGGATCAATTTTGGTCTTTTAGATCATAATTATATGGACGGAGGGACCTGATCCTAGATCTGCACTGAGACGCTTTATGAATACAGCTGTATGCCAGCTTTTGGTTGAGTGTTTGATTGATGTAGGCTATTGCGCAAAATCTCAGCTGTGATTGCCATGCCTTCTGGCTCCTCGAGTCTGGCTGATCAATAGGCCCATTATAAGGCCTTCTCTCTTTTTCTCTGCTGGAATAAAAGGTTATGGTTCCAGAGAATCACCATGTCTGCCTCAATTACGCCTTAAACCTATGATTGCCAACTTCATCTTGGCTTGTTTTATTTCATGCCCGCAGCCCGACTTTCACATATACTAGAATTTGTAGGCTAGTCTTTATAATTTGAAGCCAGGCCTTAGCAATTGCGTTAGATAGAGATAACGTCTGCTATCACAACTTTTAACTCTGGGGTCTGCTCTCCCGCCTCACAAAACAAAATGAAATTGCATTACAGCCCCGACGAGATGTAATTTCACAGCAGCGCAATCAGATGCCTGGCAATTAGGGTGTTCTCATGCATCCATCCCCATTCATCCATCCATCCTTCCGTCCATCCATGGCTCTTACTCTGCATGCATGCCACGCAGCTGTGTGTGTGTGTGTGTGTCTGTTAGCGAGCTCTGGGCCCTTCACAGCTGGAACCAGGCAGCACATCCCAATCCCATCATAGATGACAGTTCTAACAATAAGCACAGATGGACCACCAATGAATGGCAGCCATTGTCACGCTCACTCCAGTTGTTACAGGATTGACAGGTTATAATGTAATTATTGAGTGAAATAAACATTGCATGCCTTTTCAGTAAAATTAAGAAAACAACTTCATAAGTATTGCAATTCAGAGTTGAACACAACCTAATCTACTTTGGTGTGGATGGCCTGTTTGTACATCCACCATAGTTGCTGAAAAGGACGTCCCAGGTAAGCTCTATAATGTGAAGGGTATACCAATCTCTTTCCTGTGCTTCATATGACCAGGTATATTATATTAAACCCCCTCTTGTTATGTATGTGTCCTTTGTGCAGGGCTACTCGTTCATGGCCCCCTCCATCCTGTTCAAGTGGAATGCTGTGATGGACGACACACTACAGCTGTGTGGAGGATCAGGGTCAGAGAGGCCGGGGTCTGCTGCTGTGGCCCGCAGCGCCATGATGAAGGTACACCCCTGTGTGTGTGTGTGTGTGTGTGTGTGTGTGTGTGTAGTACAGTTAGATGGGTAGGGTTGTATTTATTCCCTCCACATAAACACACTTTGCCTAATAGCTTAGCTGGAGCCACTAAGAAATAGGAGTTTTCTCCCTAGAGCAGCGCTTACTTTCAGTTGTTTATGAGGTTTTTGCATCAGTATTTTCAGGTTTCAGTCCTTCCAGGAGAGAATAGTTTAGCTACTATATTTTTAGATTATATTTTCAGTTTCAGGTGTGATGAAGACTAGTTAGCGAGTGATAATGGCGTTATGAAAACAGCGTTCTTTGTAAATTTGATAAGAAAATCTTCTCTTTAGGACTCTCTGTTCTATATGAACTATGAGATGAACCTGAAGGACAATGCTCTGGGCGAAGGCAGTTTCTCTATCTGTAGGCAGTGCACCCACAAGAAGACTGGACAGAATTACGCTGTGAAAATCGTCAGCAAGAGGTACTGTACCATAGGCTAGCCTGGTCCCAGATCTGTTTGCGCTGTATGGCCAGCTCATACGCTATGGTGATTGTCATGCCAAACTGTACCAGCTGGAGCTCACTGATGTGTGTTTATTGGGAGTTGGCTAGCTAACTAGATAAGGCCATACACATTGTATTCTTTTTTTTTTAAAGAAGAAGAAAAAAGTAGACCCCTTGTTAAAATACTACAGCAACCTTAGTTCAACACCTAGCAACCTAATCAAGATATTTTAGCATCTTGGGAAGGCTAAAATAGGCATAGTTCAGCCATAATCCAAGAGGAAGTTGTATGTCACTTCACTGGAAACTTGAGGACATTATATCCCATCGATGCCCCCTCGACTGAACATGCATGACACAGCCTTTCCAGCCCAAACTGCCACAATTTCATCCCAAGCTGACTTTCAATCGGCATCATTTCAATTTTTTGTTTGTTGTTTTACTTTTTATACTATTTGAGATTCTTTGAAAAGCGCTATACAAGTTCAAAAATGTATCTATAATTGCAATTTTTCAGTACAACTTTTCAATTTTTCTGATTTAAATAAAACAATCATTTTGGAGAAAAGATGTAGCGAGACATCCGTTAAACATTTAATTTACATTTGGATGCTCTCACTCTGTGACATCAATTCCAGGCCAGCAGACCTCGCAGGAGACTGGAGGCTGCTGTGAGGCTGCTGGAGGCTACTGGTTGGCTGCTGGAGGATGAAGTGTGCTAACACTTCCCTTTAGTGGTGACACTGAACTTACGGCGATGACACTGTGTGACAGGTGCATATATGACAGGTGACACCTTCTGATGACACTTTGCGTCTCTCCCATGTCCCCTCTAGGATGGAGGCCCAGACACAGAAAGAGATTGCAGCTCTGAAGCTCTGCGATGGCCACCCCAACATCGTCAAGACTCATGAGATATACCATGACCAGGTACGTTTTTTTTATTTAACCTTATCTATACAGGTTAGTCTCATTTAGATCAAATCTATTTTGTAAGAAACGCCTGTTATGTTTGCTATCAGATGGTGTGTTCTGGTTAGAAATATTACATTTTAGTCATTTAGCAGACACTCACTGGATTTAATAATAATAATAATAATATGCCATTTAGCAGACACTTTTATCCAAAGCGACTTAGTCATGTGTGCATTTTTACGTATGGGTGGTCCCGGGGATCGAACCCACTACCCTGGCGTTACAAGCGCCATGCTCTACCAATTGAGCTACAGAGGACCACAATTTAACTGAAGTAGGCAAAACAACCACATATTTTCATTGAACTCTTATTTATACAGGTTATTTTCATTGAGATAAAATCTATTTTACAAGAGAGACCTGATATAACAAGCATTGGAAACAAAAGCCCATCTTCAGAAATAGCCACTTTCTGACAGAACCAGTGATTGTAAGACGAGACCAACGGCAGACAGGCAGCCTTATTAAGTCAGAAGTGGAACAGAGCAGATGAATGTGGAAGCTAGATTCCTCCTGGGACATTCTCCATCTCCCTCTGTTCTCGCCTTCATATCGTCCTATAATAAACACTACACCCCCATATTTCAGATTGTATATACTGTATTTTACTGCAGCACAACAGCTGAACCACATACGGGCACATCCACTATAGGTATAGATTAATTAAACCTACATGGAACATATTTCATGTCTGTATGTGGGCCTTTAGATCTCATGAAGGATTTGCGCTTAGTGAGAGAAAATACAAATTGCTCCAAATCGGGTCAAACAAGTCTGTGTGTGTGTGTTTCTGTGGATGGCTGATATTGGCCATGTTCATTATCTGGGGCCCTTCAGGCCTTGGAGCAGCACTGTAGCACTGAGCTCTGCTGGGTTGTTACTGTACTGTACCTCAGAGAGGGCTCAATCCCAAATGGTACCATATTTCCTTTTAAAGTACATTACTTTTGACTAGAGCCCTGGTTAAAAGTATTGCACTATAAAATGAATAGGGTGTCATTTAGGATTCAGCCAGACAGAGGGCTGTTAACTAGATCAAAGCAGAGCTGCCTCGCTGCGGCTCTCCTCTCCCCTCCTCTCCCAATCTGCGTTCCAATTCTACACCTTTCTCCCAAAGTGTGCACTTGCACACTCCCCGTCCATTGGGACACAGACTACCTTGCATGGAGAATTGGGACATAGCCAATGGTGTCCAAGTGCATACTTTGGGAGAAGGGTGGAGAATTGGGATGCAGCCCACCTCCCAGCTCCTTCCATCTCTCTTGTCTTTGTTCCCCAGTTCCAGCACTAATGAGAAAGCCTATTCTACTCTACCCGGCTGCAGTGCCAGACAGACTCGGCCACATTATTCTCTACCCACTTTATCAGGGTCCTTTCACTTCAGCCACTCTGTTCTGGTTTCATCTCGCCATCACTGTGAGAGCTGTATTGTTATTAGGATATGTATCATACAATATAGAAATGTGGATTCGGGGTTTCTACCGTTTCAATTTCCCAAACAATTTCATCTATTGTATAACAACAACCTTGGATCAGAGCAATCGATCACATTAACTCAATAAAGCATGACGTTTCCTACTTCATATGACCTCAATATTTTTTGAAGTTTCGAAATACAGTATATATATGGATATTTACATTCGTATAGGATCTATGAATAGTTGGTAAACATGACTGTAAGGCTCTCTCTGGAGACCCTATGGATTGAATGTGTGGTGTGTGTCTAACTTTCTGTGTGTCTGTGTTTCTCCCCACCCCCTCTCCCCTCCAGCTGCATACGTACCTGGTGTTGGAGCTGCTGCGTGGTGGGGAGCTGCTGGAGAGGATCCGGAGGAAGCAGCACTTCAGTGAGACAGAGGCCAGTCGCATCATGAGGAGACTGGTGTCAGCCGTCAGCCACATGCACGATGTAGGGGTGGTGCACAGGGACCTCAAGCCAGAGGTACTACTCAGGAGAGAATGACTGCCCTTTGTCATTGAAGCCACAGAAGTTCAAGGCCGACAGCGGTACTGCCTGCATTGTTAGCAGAAAACAGGATCCCCCATTATAGGGAATGGAAAAATGGCGATCTTCGTGTTCAATCTTTGTGTAAATAAAATAAAAAATCGAAGACAATCATGGTACCAATAATTGCTTCTAATACACCAAATGTATGTCCTTGAACCAGTTATTTGAAAATCGCACACTGAAGAAGTTATAAGGATAATTTAGTTGCTAATGGCAGCCTGCAGCACCACGGTCGGCCTTCAACTTGACTTACTTAATGAGGGGGCGTAACTGAGCTAGCCTGTAACGTCACTTTATTTATTTATTTTTATTTATTTTATTTCACCTTTATTTAACCAGGGAAGCCAGTTGAGAACAAGTTCTCATTTACAACTGCGACCTGGCCAAGATAAAGCAAAGCAGTGCGATTAAAAACAACACAGAGTTACATATGGGGTAAAACAAACATAAAGTCAAAAATACAACAGAAAATATATATACAGTGTGTGCGAATGTAGTAAATTATGGAGGTAAGGCAATAAATAGGCCATAGTGCAAAATAGTTACCATTTCGTATTAACACTGGAATGATAGATGTGCAAAAGATGATGTGCAAATAGAGATACTGGGGTGCAAATTAGCAAAATAAATAACAATATGGGGATGAGGTAATTGGGTGGGCTAATTTCAGAATGGCTGTGTACAGGTGCAGTGATCGGTAAGCTGCTCTGACAACTGATGCTTAAAGTTAGTGAGGGAGATAAGTGTCTCCAGCTTCAGAGATTTTTGCAGTTCGTTCCAGTCATTGGCAGCAGAGAACTGGAAGGAATGGCGGCCAAAGGAGGTGTTGGCTTTGGGGATGACCAGTGAGATATACCTGCTGGAGTGCATACTACGGGTGGGTGTTGCTATGGTGACCAATGAGCTAAGATAAGGCGGGGATTTGCCTAGCAGTGATTTATAGATGACCTGGAGCGAGTGGGTTTGGCTACGAATATGTAGTGAGGGCCAGCCAACAAGAGCGTACAGGTCACAATGGTGAGTAGTATATGGGGTTTTGGTGACAAAATGGATGGCACTGTGATAGACTACATCCAATTTTCTGAGTAGAGTGTTGGAGGCTATTTTGTAAATGACATCGCCGAAGTCAAGGATCGGTAGGATAGTCAGTTTTACGAGGGCATGTTTGGCAGCATGAGTGAAGGAGACTTTGTTGCGAAATAGGAAGCAGATTCTAGATCTAACTTTTGATTGGAGATGCTTAATGTGAGTCTGGAAGGAGAGTTTACAGTCTAACCAGACAGCTAGGTATTTGTAGTTGTCCTCATACTCTAGGTCAGACCCGCCGAGAGTAGTGATTCTAGTCAGGTGGGCGGGTGCAAGCAGCGTTCGGTTGAAGAGCATGCATTTAGTTTTACTAGTGTTTAAGAGCAGTTGGAGGTTACGGAAGGAGTGTTGTATAGCGTTGAAGCTCGTTTGGAGGTTTGTTAACACAATGTCCAATGAAGGGCCAGATGTATACAAAATGGTGTCGTCCGCATAGAGGTGGATCCGAGCGTCACCAGCAGCAAGAGCGACATCATTGATATACACAAAGAATAGAGTCGGCCCAAGAATTGAACCCTGTGGCACCCCCATAGAGACTGCCAGAGGTCCAGACAACAGGCCCTCCAATTTTACACATTGAACTCTATCTGAGAAGTAGTTGGTGAACCAGGCAATGCAGTCATTTGAGAAACCAAGGCTATTTAGTCTGCCAATAAGAATGCGGTGGTTGACAGAGTCGAAAGCCTTGGCCAGGTCGATGAAGACGGCTGCACAGTACTGTCTTTTATCGATCGCGGTTATAATATCGTTTAGGACCTTGAGCGTGGCTGAGGTGCACCCATGACCAGCTCGGAAACCGGATTGCATAGCGGAGAAGGTACGGTGGGATTCGAAATGGTCGGTGATCTGTTTGTTAACTTGGCTTTCAAATACTTTCGAAAGGCAGGGCAGGATGGATATAGGTCTAAACTTCCTGGAGTAGCTCAAACTGCGCATATTATGTCTCCATGAGACTCCATCTTAACCAACTTAATTTGACTTCAATGCGCTATTGAGTCTTCACATAGGAGTGAATGGTGTCAAGTAATCGATGGCTTTCTCCATTTATATATGCAGTCATTGGTACTACTCAAACTCCTAGGCTGCTCCCAGACCTGTGGTCCTCTGTAGCTCAGTTGGTAGAGCATGGCGCTTGCTACACCAGGATAGTGGGTTTGATTCCCAGGACCACCTGTATGTAAAATGTGTGCATGAGTTTAGTCGCGTTGGATGAAATCATCTGCAAAATGGCATATTATCTTTATGGGCTGGCTATACTGCGCAAACAGATCTGGGATCAGGCTATTGAACCCCTAGGTAATAAAGAACTAGAGGGACAATCCCAATTGATCCTGATAATCTGTATGTATGACCTAGCTATATACAGTGCATTCAGAAAGTATTCTGACCTCTTGACTTTTTCCACATTTTGTTACGTTACAGCCTTATTCTTAAATGGATTAAATTGTTTTTTTCCCTCATCAATCTACACACAATACCCGATAATGACAAAGCAAAAACAGGTGTAGACATTTTTGCAAATGTATTACAAATAAAAAAACAAATATAACATTTACATAAGTATTCAGACCCTTTACTCAGTACTTTGTTGAAGCACCTTTGGCAGCGATTACAGCCTCGAGTGACGCTACAAGCTTGGCATACCTGTATTTGGGGAGTTTCTCCCATTCTTCTCTGCAGATCCTCTCAAGCTCTGTCAGGTTGGATGGGGAGCATCGCTGCACAGCTATTTTCAGGTCTCTCCAGAGATGTTTGATCGGGTTCAAGTCCGGGCTCTAGCTGGGCCACTCGAGGACATTCAGAGACTTGTCCCAAAGCCACTTCTGCGTTTTCTTGGCTGTGTGCTTAGGGTCGTTGTCCTGTTGGAAGGTGAACCTTTGCCCCAGTCTGAGGTCCTGAGCGCTCTGGAGCAGGTCTTCATCATGGATCTCTGTACTTTGCTCCGTTCATCTTTCCCTTGATCCTGACTAGTCTCCCAGTCCCTGCCGCTGAGAAACATCCCCACAGCATGATGCTGCCACCACCATGCTTCACCGAAGGGATGGTGCCTTGTTTCTACTGGTCAGAGTCCTTTATGGGCCTTTTGGCAAACTCCAAGTGGGCTGTCGTGCCTTTTACTGAGGAGTGACTTCCATCTGGCCACTCTACCATAAAGGCCTGATTCGTGGAGTGCTGCAGAGATGATTGTCCTTCTGGAAGGTTCTCCCATCTCCACAGAGGGGCCATCGGGTTCTTGGTCACCTCCCTGACCAAGGCCCTTCTCCCCAGATTGCTCAGTTTGGCTGGACGGCCAGCTCAAGGAAGAGTCCAAACTTCTTCCATTTAAGAATGATGGAGGCCACTGTGTTCTAGGGGACCTTCAATGCTACAGAAATGTTTTGGTACCCTTCCCCAGTTCTGTGCCTCAACACAATCCTGTCTCGGAGCTCTACGGACAATTCCTTCGACCTCATGGCTTGGTTCTTGCTCTGACATGCACTGTCAACTGTGGGACCTTATATAGACAGGTGTGTGCCTTTCCAAATCATGTCCAATCAGTTGAATTTACCACAGGTGGACTCCAAGTTGTAGAAACATCTCAAGGATGATCAATGGAAACAGGATGCACCTGAGCTCCATTTCGAGTCTCATAGCAAAGGGTCTGAAGGTATTTCTGTTTTTTATTTTTAATACATTTGCACAAAAAAATAGCCTGTTTTTGCTTTGTCATTCTGGGGTATTGTGTGTAGATTGATGAGGACATTTTTTATTTAATCCATTTTAGAATAAGGCTGTAACGTAACAAAGTGGAAAAGGGGAAAGGATCTGAATACTTTCCGAAAGCGCTGTACATGTTAGTTGCATATGAATAGAATATAGCGATCAAAGGCTTGAATGAAGCATGATATCTTTCTTTATGTTTATTTTCTCCATCTGGCCAAATGGAACTGAAGCTGGCACTTCAAAAGTGGTGCATCTCATCTTTCCTGTCATTAATGGACTAGAAATGGTAACGGGTGTGTCGTTATGAGATTGTAATTATGCATTCAAATAGACTCTGGAGAAATAACAGAAACATGTTTCTCTCTTGAAACCCTGTTCAGAACTTGCTATTCACAGATGAGAGTGAGAACTCGGAGATAAAGATCATAGACTTTGGTTTCGCCCGACTGAAGCCCCCAGACAACCAGCTGCTGAAGACGCCGTGTTTCACCCTGGCCTACGCCGCGCCAGAGATCCTCAAATACGACGGCTACGACGAGTCATGTGACCTCTGGAGCCTGGGGGTCATCCTGGTGAGTGGTGAGTGAAGGTGGTACAGAGAAGGTGTGAATCCTTATACCCTTAATGCATTGGAGGAGAAGAGCCAAGGTTCCTTCCCTTAGAACTTCTCCTCCAATGTGTTTTGAGAAGGATGTCAGGGAGTCAAGGAATCAAGGAACAATTGTTTCGTTTCACCCAGTGAGAGAGAGGGCTGCCCAGTTCAAAATCCAACCTTAGCCTCTATCTATACCAAAAGCTGCACTTCTCGTAGATCTGGTATTTCATTGATTTGATACAGCTACAGAAATTCGAGCTTGATTCAGCAGTTGTATGTTGGAGTTTGTCGAGGCCATTCACAAGGGGAGCTGTTCCGGTGTTCTCGGTATCCTATGTTATGTGGTTAGGGCCTGTCTGATACCCATCTCTGTTTTATTCAGTACAGCTAACATGCTTCTGTTCTGTTGTGTCCGGTGGTGTGCTGTGCTGCTGACACACTTCAATATTCACCCCTAACCCAAGATCTACCAGCGGCACTAAGCTTTATTTATACAGCACATTTCAGACATGAATGCAACACAGTGCGCTTCACAGGAAAAAACATAAGTAAAAAACGATTAGAATAAAAACAGGAATGTTTACTACACAACAAACATAAGAGGATGCAAAACTAAAGAATAACAGTAAAAACTGAAAGACAAAAAGAAAGCACCCTAAGGATAAGCAAAGCTAAAAAGTAGCGTTTTAACATCTCTTTTAATTATGTCCACACTTTCGGCCCCCCTCAGGTTCTCTGGCAGGCTATTCCAGGGGCTGGGCGCATAGTAACTAAAGGCTGCCTCTCCATGCCTCTTGGTCCTAGGCTTTGGGATAGTTAAAAGGCCAGTGCCAGAGGATCTGAGTGACTTACTGGGTACATACCTCAAAAGCATGTCTGATATGTATTGGGGTGCTCAATCGTGGATTGATTTACAAACCAATAGAATCATCTTAAAATGTATTCTAAAACTCCAGTGCAGAGACTTTACAACCTGTGTAATGGGTGCTCTCCGTCTGGTCTTGGTCATACATTTACATTTTACATTTTAGTCATTTAGCAGACGCTCTTATCCAGAGCGACTTACAGGAGCATTTAGGGTTAAGTGCCTTGCTTAAGGGCACATCGACAGATTTTTCACCTAGTCGGCTCGGGGATTAGAACCAGCGACCTTTCGGTTACTGGCACAACGCTCTTACCCACTAAGCTACCTGCCGCCAGTACCCGTGCTGTAGCATTCTGTATGTTTTGCAGTTGACCAATGGCTTTCTTGGGTAGACCAGACAGGAGAGCGTTACAGTAGTCAAGCCTTCTTGTAATAATGAGTCTCTCTGTATCAGCCTGAGATGGAAACGGCCGCACCATGGCAATGTTCCTCAAGTGGAAAAAAACGTATTTTGGTCACATTCTTAATGTGTGTTTCGAAATGGAGTTCAGAATCTAAAATGACACCTAGGTTTTTTACCTGGTGTTTTATCTTTATTTCCCGTGAATTAAAAATGTGCGGCCAGATTCTCTCTCTGTGCTTTGGCTCCAATAATAAGTACCTTGGTCTTGTCTTGATTTAGCTGGAGGACGTTGTGAGCCATCCAAGTATTTAAATCACTAAAACAGTCTAATAATCTGTGGAGATAAAATCCTCTGGTGACACAAATGTAAAGTTATGTATCGTCTGCGTAGCATTGAAAATCAATGCTGTGCTTTGTGATAACGCTGCCAAGGGGTAACATATATAAACTGAACAGTACCAGACCCAAAATCGAACCTTGTGGAACGCCACAAGTGATATCTATTTTCTCTTGAGTTATGTTCACCAATGTTGACAAAAAAACTCTCGACCGGCCATAGGCCTAGCCAGAGCAGAGCGGGTTAAGGCTACAGTATGAGGTTTGGGAAGCTTTTCAATGGTCATTTCAATTGTTAATTTTTATCATAACCCAAAATATGAGGTTTTCTTACTCCCTTGTTTACAAACAAGAAGAATGTAAACAAATGATGTATTGCGTCAAAAGATGGTTAAACGATCTCTTGGATGTAACGGACTGTCAGCCTTTTCATGTAAAGCACTGTCTATGAATAGCCCCATCCCTCAGCTGATTTTGTTGTTTTTTGAATCGCAGGCTTTTCTGTGGCCATATGAGGCTGAGGCATTGCTTCCTGCCAGCGGAAATGTCAATGGTCCTCTGAAGAGAATGAGAATTAAGAGGAGAGGTAGAGAGAGAGAGAGTGAGGGAAAGAGAGAGGGAGGGATGGATGGATGGAGAGAGAGTGTGATAGGAAAGAGAGCGAGATGAGGGGTGAGAGAGAGGAAGGAGAAGAGAGAGGAAGAGAGATTTCTCCGCTTGGCCTCTCAAGCGTGCAGCCTCAGTCCCCTCTCTCTCTCTCTCTCTCTCTCTCTCTCTCTCTCTCTCTCTCTCTCTCTCTCTCTCTGCGTTTGCCCCTGGGGGTAGAGTATAGTAGTGTGCTGGCTGTGTGTACAGAGCTGTGATGTGATGCTTCCTGACAGGCCAGGCTCTGTACAACAGAGTGCCCTGGAAGCATAGCAAGCCGAGGAGAGGACACCACAGAGCCAGAGACAGACAGACAGACATGCACTGCCAAAACGGCTGTTGTTTAATGAGGTATTAGAAACTAGGCCAACTTTAATCAGGCTTAGATCAAGTGAGAGTACACCTAGTACCTGACTTAATTAGCTCAGGCACGGTTTAAAGATGTGTAGACCTGCATGGACACCATGTATACACAATATCAACATATAGGCTACATGTAGGATTCCACAATATTAATATGGATTATATTATTACATTGGATCATATATTTATTATTATGTAGTATTATTATTATTATTATTATATTCCAGTACACCATGCTGTCGGGCCAGGTGCCGTTCCAGTGCCAGGGGAAGAGTCTGACCCACACCAGCGCTGAAGAGATCATGAAGAAGATTAAACAGGGAGACTTCTCCTTCGAGGGAGAGGCCTGGAGGAGTGTCTCACAGCAGGCCAAGGACCTCATACAAGGTGAGCCTGGGAGGTGGAGATGAGGGAGATTAAACATCAGGGGGGTTGATATGATACCAACTTCAGGCATTCTTTGCTACAAGGTGAAGGTTGACCTCCTCTAGTGTGCAGCGGGTCTTTGGTGCTGCTACTCACCAGCGGTTGTGTCTGTAATGTTCACCAGGTGTCTGTCTGGTCCAGGGCTCTCCAACCCTGTTCCTGGAGAGCTACCGCCCTGTAGGTTTTCGTTCCAACCCTAATCTAGCACACCTGATTCTAATAATTAACTGTTTGATAAGCTGAATCCAAATGGCTGAATCAGGTTTGTTACAACTGGGGTCGGAGAGAACCTACAGGAGGGTAGCTCTCCAGGAATGGGGTTGGAGAGCCCTGGTCTGGTCTTTTCCCCCAGAGCTGCTGTATTGACATACATATACAATATTAGTGCTTGTAATATCCATCATTGGTGTGGTACCTATAGAGCTGCTGACAGTGGACCCTGACAAGCGGATCAAGATGTGTGGTCTGAGGTACAACGCCTGGCTCCAAGACGACAGCCAGCTCTCCTCCAACCCTCTGATGACACCAGACATCCTGGGCTCCTCCACCACTGTGTCCGTACACACCTACGTCAAGGCTACCTTCAACGTGAGCTTTATTCATTCAATCAGGAGGGGGGAGGGCATGGTGAGAGTGAATGGCAGGTTTGCATTAGAGGAGGCAAGGAGAGAATATCCCCGTTTCACTTGTCATCAGTTCTTCCAAAGGGGATGGGGTGATGGTGAGGGCGGGTATAAATCCTTTCATGTTTTTTAGCCTCGTGAATGTGTTTATTGTAGTTTACTGTTGTTCATTTGTTGTTGTTTGTATTTATTATGGATCCCCATTAGCTGCCAAGGCAGCAGCTACTCTTCCTGTTGTTTTTATTGTGGTCTTGGGTTCTGCTTCTCCAGGCGTTCAACAAGTGTAAGCGGGAGGGTTTCCGTCTGCAGACGGTGGACAAGGCCCCGCTGGCCAAGAGGAGGAAGATGAAGAAGACCAGCACCAGCACAGAGACCAGGAGCAGCTCCGGTGAGAGCACCCACTCTTCCTCCTCCTCCTCCCAGTCTCACCAGGACACCCAGTCCTCCTCCCAGTCCCACCAGGAGAAGACAGGGGGAGACACCAACCCTCCACCCCAGCCCTCCAACACCACCCCTGTCACTACACCCCTCGCCCTGAGCTCAGACAGCGACCCTGTCCCGGAACGCCCTTGCCCTCCAGCCTTCCACTTCTCACAGTGAGAGAGAGACAGACGGTGTATTATAGGGGATCAGCCTGAGCAACGCTCTGCGCAGATCCGCTAATCTTAATTTGTAGGTCAGTCTTTCTGTGCAGTCACATGCAGTAGATCTCAAACATGCACTGAGAAGATGAGGTGAAGAAGGCGGGGGAAAAGACTGCGCTGTCAGAAAGACCAATGGACAGACAGCATGGAGATCCCTCTATCTCTCTCTCTCTCTCTCTCTTTCTCTCCTTCCATGGCAGCTCGCAGTCAATCACTCACAGTCAGTCACATGCATGGACAACAAGTGCACGCACGCCTCCAAACTGAGCATGCAGCAGGAGCAGGAACCACCTCTCAATCATTGCTAGCAATAGACACACACCAAATGAAAAGGGCTGCCCTATGGATTCAGGGCTAGACAGCGGAGAGAACCTCCTACAACCACAGCTCTGTTTCAATCATGTCTTTTGTTTGTTTGTTGGTTTGTCTGGACAATAGGTGATAGTCCTGGTTGTGTTTCTTAGTTTTTTTTTATACTGGTGTATTGCATTACTTTAAAAATGGAACATTAAGCCACAAGTACTGCAGCTGATCACATTGGGAGGAACCTCTTGTTTTTAAGTGGAGCACATATTTTGCAGTATTTATATATGACAAAAATGCAGACCGAAATGATTTCTTGTTTTTATGTTAACTTATGGTTCACAACTGTTTATGATAGATGATATATATGCTCAGACCTACAACCTGAGATCTAGAACCCTTGAGATCTAGAACCCTTGAGATCTAGAACCCTTGAGATTTAGAACCCTTGAGATTTAGAACCTTTGCGTTAAAGAGGCAGTTTCACCTCATTGCAACATGTTTCAATGGTTTCAGGATGATTCATAGATATTTCAAACTGCTCTCATAATGAGATCATGATGCAATTGTTTGTTGACCTGATCAGATCATGTATTTATGGGGGTTTTATCCAACGCGTGTGGACTTGGACTAGTGTACATTCAACCAAATAATTTCATCATTATCAGATAGATGAAGATGCTTGTTTTACCTGAGGGCCAGTAGGCTAAAACGGGCGCTATGCTAGTAAAGCCTGAGCTATGCTATGTGTTTACCACTGTAGCGTTAGCACGAATGTTATTATGGCTGTACAGTAGCTTGTTCAGCCTCGATATGATGGAGGCCTAGTCAGTGTTTAGCTGTGGATTACAAATAGTAGGGTAGGATCCTCATATACATCAACTTGTCTTGAAGGAGGCAGGGGAGTTACAAGTACTGTGCCAATAATCTCTGCCTTTTCTACATTAGATGCTGTCACTTGCCCACGTGTATGCGTCAGACTAGAGATATATATATACATACACTACCGTTCAAAAGTTTGGGGTCACTTAGAAATGTCCTTGTTTTTGAAAGGAAAGCCAATTTTTTTTGTCCATTAAAATAACATCAAATTGATCAGAAATACAGTGTAGACATTGTTAATGTTGTAAATGGCTATTGTAGCTGGAAACGGCTGATTTTTAAAATGGAATATCTACATAGGCGTACAGAGGCCAATTATCAGCAACCATCAGTCCTGTGTTCCAATGGCACGTTGTGTTTGCTAATCCAAGTTTATCATTTTAAAAGGCTAATTGATCATTAGAAAACCCTTTTGCAATTATGTTAGCACAGCTGAAAACTGTTGTGCTGATTAAAGAAGAAATAAAACTGGCCTTCTTGAGACTAGTTGAGTATCTGGAGCATCAGCAATTGTGGGTTCGATTACAGGCTCAAAATGGCCAGAAACAAAGAACTTTCTTCTGAAACTCGTCAGTCTATTCTTGTTCTGAGAAATGAAGGCTATTCAATGCGAGAAATTGCCAAGAAACTGAAGATCTCGTACAAAGCTGTGTACTACTCCCTTCACAGAACAGCGCAAACTGGCTCTAACCAGAATAGAAAGAGGAGTGGGAGGCCCCGGTGCACAACTGAGCAAGAGGACAAATATATTAGAGTGTCTAGTTTGAGAAACAGACACCTTACAGGTCCTCATCTGGCAGCTTCATTAAATAGTACCCGCAAAACACCAGTCTCAACGTCAACAGTGAAGAGGCGACTCCGGGATGCTGACTTTCTAGGCAGAGTTGCAAAGAAAAAGACATATTTTTTCTTTGCAACTCTGCCTAGAAGGTCAGCATCCCGGAGTCGCCTCTTCACTGTTGACTTTGAGACTGGTGTTTTGCGGGTACTATTTAATGAAGCTGCCAGTTTAGGACTTGTGAGGCGTCTGTTTCTCAAACTAGACACTCTAATGTATTTGTCCTCTTGCTCAGTTGTGCACCGGGGCCTCCCACTCCTCTTTCTATTCTGGTTAGAGCCAGTTTGCGCTGTTCTGTGAAGGGAGTAGTACACAGCGTTGTACGAGATCTTCAGTTTCTTGGCAATTTCTCGCATTGAATAGCCTTCATTTCTCAGAACAAGAATAGACTGACGAGTTTCAGAAGAAAGTTCTTTGTTTCTAGCCATTTTGATCCTGTAATCAAACCCACAATTGCTGATGCTCCAGATACTCAACTAGTCTCAAGAAGGCCAGTTTTATTGCTGCTTTAATCAGCACAACCGTTTTCAGCTGTGCTAACATAATTGCAAAAGGGTTTTCTAATGATCAATTAGCCTTTTTTAAAATGATAAACTTGGATTAGCAAACACAACATGCCATTGAAACACAGGACTGATGGTTGCTGATAATGGGCCTCTGTACGCCTATGTAGATATTCCATTAACGATCAGCCATTTCCAGCTACAATAGCCATTTACAACATGAACAATGTCTACACTGTATTTCTGATCAATTTGATGTTATTTTAATGGGCAAAAAAATATAAATCTTTCGAAAACAAGGACATTTCGAAGTGACCCCAAACTTTTGAACAGTAGTGTATATATACTGCATATGCATACAGTATGTATGGCTCTGCTTCAGACTACTGCAAACAGTTGACTTGTTCCTATGTTTATAGAAACAAAATGAATCTCCTTTCATGTCTCTCTCTGTATTATAGCATTGCAGGACTGACATGATGGTTGGTTTGGATTCTTGGCACTCACACTGTGGTTTGAGCTCTTGTGATACACATCTTGACATGTTGCTTTGCAGAGAGCACATCTTTACTTGGTTTTCTTTATCTACTTCCGTTTGAAAGCATTGAGTATTTAGAAACGGCATTCTGTGGAAACAGACACACTTTTAGGTAGCTACCTGTTAAGATCTGCATGTGATGTTACCTTTCTATGCAAGTATTCAGACATGTTTGTCCATCTGAATTGTATTTGTGAGGATACTTAATGTCTGAATATCTGTATGACGCTGTCCAGCTGTCAGAGAGTAGAACTTGTTTATTTCTAGACATTACAGCACAGGGACTATTCAGCTTACTTTTTGGTTGAGGGCTTCATTTGAACTTAGTTCATGCTGAAACGATTCATATATTATGGCTCTCTCCATTTCATGCAGTCCACTCCAAAAAGGTCTGAACCTATAGCTTGATATGTCAACAGGGAACACTGTGTACACACACACACACACACACACACGCACCAACCCCCCAACAACAACATGACTTTCCACTTCTCAGTTTCATGGACTTAAAGGCTGAACCATAGAAGCTAAATAGTACAAAGCTCTTCTCTTCTCCTGACTTCAGTCTGCATGAGTTCCGTCCCTGCTTATTTTCTGCCTCATTAAACCTAAAGTTGGTTGGGTCTATTAATAGACTAGAGAGCACAGCCACAGAAGAGAGAAAGCAGGGGAGGGGAGGACCGGAAAGGAGGGATGTTAAGGAGAAGGGGAGGAAGTAGAGGAAGGAGTGTGTCCTATATTGAACTCCCCTTTGGGAGCTGGGAGTCTAATCTGCTGTAGCGCTGCTCTGTTTGTTCCAGAAAGGGACATGCTCAACTCTCTCGCGGTTTCGTGTCGTTTTAGGTCAGACTCGCTCCAAACTGACTTGCCTTTTTATTAAGAAAATCTTCACACTTATTTGTGTGCTGCCCATTGATGGGAAAGAAACCAAACGTTTTTGTTTCTAATTTAATTTGTAATGTGCATCCTCCTCACTCATAGCTATACTGTTTTGAACTAAGCTAGACTCCACTTGGCTGATTCCAGTTGCCTGTAGCCAGGTGAGTCCTGTGCCTGCTTCGCTGTGAGGGCTGAGGCTCTGCCCATTCATGGGCTTGGTTCTCTCCCACCACTACATTCAATATTATTGGTGGTACAGACAGACACATCCCACATTGTCTTGGGCATGGTTCTCTGGAGCTTGTCTTCTTGAATAGTACTGTAGCGGTGGGTCTCTTCAATAGCCTATAGCCTAAATATCCAACCTTCTAACATGCAAATCAGCTTTAATATTATCGACCTTTGCACTTTTGATTGATTTTTTTTTTTTACCCTTGTTTTTTTGTTGTTGTTGTGGAGATTCAATTGATGATATGTTCACAGTAGGTAATTGTCCTCCATTTGGAATGGAACAATAGTTGCTGTAATTAATGCCACTACTGCTTACTCCTTTAGTTACTGTGAGGACACACGTAGCCTAGCCATCACTGTGAAAACAAGACCTGTGTGTTTGGTCCATTGACATACAGTATATGGTTTGGTCACTTAACACCCCATCATTCAGGTGTGCAGGCCAGCCACCCCATGGATGTTCTTCGATAAGGCATTATGTTATGAACTGAAGCACATAGCAGTGTTCCTATTTATGTATTGGTACATGTAGTTTGCTATCCATGTAACATTATGGTGTGTGTATATGCGCTGGTGTTCCCTGTGAATCAGGTCCTATTGTTTTTGTCCTGTTAAAATAGATTAATCTTACATGCATCCTAAATTGGAAAATAATTTGTTTTACTGAGATGTTATTTATGTGATTTTGTTTGATCACGAGTTTCATAAGATATGACATATTTACAGTGGCTGTTCTAATTCTAAAGTCTAGAAGGGACCTTTTCTTACTAGGAATCATG